GATAGGTAGTATATAAAAGAAGTAATGCATTTAATAGACAGCATTTGGCAAGCACTCAATAAATGCTGGCTTTAATTATAAAAATATTCAATAAATATTACATGCCTACTGTATGCAGGCCCTGAGCTGGGCTCTAGAATACAGCCAAACAAGACTGCCAAATTCCTGCCCAATAGCAACTTACAGTCTCATGAAGGAAACAGCAGTTAAAATACGAAGTTCTAGTTAAACGTAATGGGTGGGAAGTGCAGAGTGAAGATGCCCAGGGGGCCCCTACCAGCTTCATTGTCAGAGAAGGCTTGGGACCTGGCCTGGAGAGTTCAGACCTGGGGGTTCTGTTCAGTCCAGGTGCGGACCCCAGGGAGGAGGAGTTGAGAAGCTGATGAGGTGGAGAGGACCGACCTAGGCAGAGTGGGAATGTTGGGGGCGGGGGGGAATCTAAGGGTCAGAGAAAGTTCATCATTCCAAAGAACATTTAGTCTGACTGGAGAAAGGTGTGAAAGCTAGTGAAGGAAGGACCTTGGTTGAGTTAAGGATCTTTTGAAGGTCGTCCTGAGGGAAACGGAAGGGTTTTTAGCGGAGGAGAGAGAGAAGATCAGGGTGGGCTTTGGCTGCCATGTGGGGAACAGTTGGAGAGGTCCGAGGCTGGGATGCTGGGGGCAGTTAGGAAGCAAGGATTAGGTGGCTAGCACCCAGGTGACAACACTGGGATGGATCCAGGGCTGTTTATAAAGTCAAGTTGACAGGACTAAACTACGGGGGGCTGAGAGACAGAAAAGTGTCGAGTGGTTTCCAAGAAGGGAAAAATAAAAGAGCAGTGACAGTCTTGTTCTTCTGGAGAGCAGACTAGTCTTCTGACTCTAGAAAGCAAAGCCAAGGAAGAGGATGTACATTCTTCCAAGTGCATCCCACCGCGGGCCCTTGTGCTCCGTGCCTTTTGTGGCATGATAAATTCTCATCACAAACCTGTGGGTAGGTAGCGCCCTGCCCCACATGCTCTCCCTCCTCCTTTGTTGTGATTATCATGAATTTGGTAAGGCTTCTAGGTTAACCTCAAGAGAATAGAAATAGGTAATACCTTGAGGCTCCCTTTTGTTATCAAATATTGCCGAAAGGGGTCCTCCATTAGTTGGTAATGCTTGATTTGCATTATAAGAGGTCAAAAGTAAAACATTTTCTAAGGAGTTGTGACCAGGTGGTTTCATCGCCTCTCAAACAGAGTGTCATTTCCTATTAACCACACTCTCCTCCCCACTTGTGTCCACACAGAAGCTGGGCGGCCATGATTGTGAACCCCCAAGAATGCCCCTTATGACCTCATAGTCACACTAAATTTGACATCATAAAGAGAATATCCTGTGGGACCTCCACCTGACCATCATGTTGTAAAACCTAAGACCACATACTGAAGGTGTGGAGCATGACTTTGTCTTTCCCTAAATCTGCACACAGAAAGGAATGAGAGTGGGTGCACACGAGCCAAATTTGAACTCCTACCACACCGAAGTCCGCGATGGCCACGCAAGGCATGAGATCCAAATCCACGAAAGAGGGAGGTAGAAGATTGTTTAAAAGCACTGGGTTTTCTTTTAGTCCCTTCCATCAGGAGTCAAGCAGATCCTGGTGAAATGTTACAGTGTTGTAAAATATTTTGTGGTGTTGATTTGTAATTGAGCCATAAGTTGATAACTTGAAGAGCTATTTATAGACTTCTAGTCTTTTTCCCAGGGGAGATAAAAAATGTAAGGGTCTTTCATTTTGGTGAGACTGATTTTTTTTTCCTCTGAAAGTTTATGTGACATTTTGAGAGATGGTGGGGTGTTTGTTTGTTTGTCTCCACTTCTGCAAGTTTCATTCAGTTTTCAAAGTCGAGTCAACCCACTTTTTAACCCACTGTTCTGACTCCTTTTCTTCGATGAAGAGTGCTTAGAAGCCACGTGGTGAATTCTTGTGTCTGACAAATAGCGAGCTTTGACTATTCAGCTTAACTTAATTCCTTCCTTTTCAGTTTTCTGAATCTGGCTATTTTTTGTTTGTTTTGGTCTTGATGTTTTCATTATGAAATTAATACATGTAACTTTCCATTTCAGTGTCTGTTTTTTACATGACTTAATTTTATCGTTCAAAACGTTATTCTTTTTCTCATCCGTGTGTTCTTATGACGCATCTATTTGTTCTACTTTTATATGACAGTTACATCTTTGACCAACCTAATCATAATTAATTTTAATCGCAATTAGTATGAAGTTATTGTTAGATAGCTCATAAAATTAGTTTCTTCTCAGGTGAATTGATGGTCTGCTTATTGATTTGTTCAGTATCATTTTTGGCATTTTTGGGGTGCATATTTTGAAATTTTAGTATGCCACCTCATTTGAACAAGATTTTTAAAAATCTGTTCTTTTCTTCCTTCTTCTGTTTTGCAGTTGCCTCCCCTCGCCCCAGTCACTGGCATTTAGAGCTCTTGTCCCATGGTGATACTGGGATAGTATAGATTGAGGGTGGCCTGATTTTGCTCTTGGTTGGGAGGCTACACCAGTGTCCTCTCTCACGAGGCAGGGCCTTCTTTCATGGGTGAAAGGACCTCATTCTAGTGCTGGCTTCAGGCACCGAGCCTGACTCATGGTCCCACTCTCTTTCTGGGCATTGAGCTTCCATGGTCCCTGCCATCTTTGGACACAAGAGTCAACAAACCCAGAGCTTCAGCCCTGCTGACTTGTTCAGTTTTTTGTCTATAAAAATATATCAACCATGCATATTTCTTTTTCCTTCTTTCCTTCTTCATTTCTTTCCTTTTTTTTTCTATGCATTTTCCCCCTTAAGTGACAATACAATTTTTGTATGATTTTGGAGGCAAGGGAGAACATAAAAGCATGAACTCCATATCATCTGGATTGAACGTAAAAATTTACTTCTTAAAAGTAATTCCCCACATTTCCAAAATGCCCGTGATCCTTGTGGTTGGATCACACACAATATCAAAACGCTGTTATACGTCAGTATTCTCCTGTTAGGCTTTTTCTTTTTTTTATGTAAATATTAAGATATGGACTGTATCTTTTTGTGAATATACATTTATTCATTAATCAACAAATATTTGTAGAGGGCTAGGCACTGTTCTAGGTGATAGAAATACAGCAGTGAATGAAACAAAGTTCTGCTCTTAGGGAGCTTACGTTCCTAGGGAGAAAGAGGTAATATGCAAACAGGTAAGTGTGTATTACAGGTACTGTTAAGAGAGCATGGAATCAGAGGCATCCCCAGACCCAGAAGCAAGTGTCAGATGCAGACAGAAAGAACTTAAAAATTTTCCCTCTCTGGTACTCTGCTGTTCTCACAGAATGTGGTTTCATTGATCACTAAGCCTTCTCTCTTTGATGTGTATAAGAATCTCTTATAAACTGATACAGGAAGTAATCAAAAAGTATTAACTATAACCATATATTCTCAAAAGAAAATCAAAATTTAAATAAATACACAACAAAGATGTTTAACCCAACTAGAAATTTACAAAGTAGCTACAAATGAGATCCTATTTCTTATCACTTAACACCCATCAATTTGACAGAAGCTCATGAAGATGATACTCGATTCTGATCAGGGTTTCCTGAAACAGTTTTTTGTTTTGGTTTTGGTTGTGGTGATTATTTTTAAAAAGTTATGCAGTTTTAAAAATTGGAAGGAAAAGATTGGCAATGATACCTGATTCTTATTTTTTCTTTTTGATTTTCTGTATTTTCTAATTTTCCTACAAACATAATGTATTGATTTTATCATCAGAAAAACATACTGTATAGCCATGAGATCCGTTCTTGAAGGCCTGTAGTAACCTATCAAGTGACACTTTCCTTTGGCATTGGTGTATAGGTCTTTCCTCTGGCACATGTGTGCAATGACACAAATAAGGTGACTTTAATTAACCCCCAAGGAGTGAAGCTGGATATCTACAAGCAAAAAGTGGAGCAGGCAATTAAGTCCTATGAAAAGTGAGTATCACCTGGCTTTGTTCTTCCATGGATGTGGAATTTGGGCTTGTTTTCCCTTGTTTCAGCTTAGATTTTTCATCAGGAGCAGCT